TTGCGACATAAGTTCGCATTTGCGAACTCGCAATGCGATAGGGAAGTCGCATTTGCGAGAAAGGCAGATGGCGGGGCACTTCGCATTTGCGAAGGAAGGATCGCATTTGCGATCAGCCCTGCCCAGGCCTCTTCTCGCATTTGCGATGTGTTGGTCGCATTTGCGAGCCAGGCTTCGCATGCAGGCCTGGAGCATACCAGATAAAATCTCCAACCTCCTAAGTCCAAATTCCACTCCGTGGCGTATCCAAAACTCACCCGAGCCCTCGGGGCTCCAAACCAGATATGCACACCAACCTAAAAACATCATACAGACTCGCTCGTGCATTCAAATCACTAAAATAACATCAACAACTATGAATTTAGTATCAAGATCATGAAATTTTCTTAAGAATTTCAAATTTCCAATTTTCTCAAAAACGATCTGATTCACGTCGTTTCAAGTCTGTTTCTTACCAAATTTCACAGACTTACCTTAAATCACATATAAGATCTCTATCGGGTGCCGAAACCGAAATAAGGGCCCGATACCATCAAATTTTAATCACAACTCATTTCCAAATCTCATAAATAATTTCAGAAAATAATTTTCTTTAAAAATTCATTTCTCGAGCTTGAGACCTTGGAGTTCAATTTCGGGCATACACCCAAGTCTCATATTTTCCTACGGACTCTCCGGGACCGTCAAATCACGGGTCCGGGTCCGTTTACCCAAAATATTGACCGGAATCAACTTAATTCATTTTATAATTAAAATTTATTATTTTTCACAGATTTTCACATATTGGCTTTCCGGCTATGCGTCCGGACTACGCACGCAAATAGAGGTGATGTTGAAAGAGGTGTTTAAGGCCTCGAAACGCAGAAATTACTTTTAAAACAAGTGATGACAAAAGGTCATCACAATCACGTCCGGTTGACTTCAAATTTTTCACACAAATCACAAATGACACCACGAACCTACTCCAATTTCTGAAAATCCAATCCGGCCTCAATATCAAAAGTACACCCCCCCCCCCCCAACTAAACTTTTCAAAATTCCAACTTTTGCCATTTCAAGCCTAATTCTACTACGGACCTCCAAACCACAATCTGAACACGCTCATAAGTCCAAAATCACCTAACGGAGCTAGCAGAACCAGCAAAACTCCATTCCGAAGTCGTCTACATAGAAATCAACATTCGGTCAACTTTTCCAACTTAAACTTTCAATTATGAGACTAAGTAGGCGTTTGGCCATGAATTCCAAAATAAATTTTCAAATTTGAAATTTCTCTAAAATTTGAGTTGAAGATGAAGTTATGTTTGGTTATAATTTTTGCAACATATTTGAATGTCTTTTTTTGCAAAATCATGAAATATGATTTATACCCCATAACTTGTAAAAAATATCAAAATTGTCCCAATTTAATTATACTACTTGAAATAAACAATCAAACATGCTATTGTTTAGCAACATGGTAGTCGTCACAAGAAAAGGATTCATTATCCGCTGCAGTAGCTTCATTTGATAGTCGAGGGCAAACACGTGGGTAGTTGTAGGTTAATAATTGATGGGGTCATTTTATAAATTTTAAAAGTATCGGGTAAATTTACAAAATTAAAAACTAGTGAAAATGCATTTTCAATTGAAAAACTGGTCAAATTTGAAAATGCATTTTTAAGTGAAATTGAAAAAAATGGTAAGATGTGGATAACCAAACATTGTTTTCAATTTTTTTTTGGAAAAAAGCAAAAATGTTGTATGTTCAAGCGGGCTCTAAGTGTCTCAATTCACTCCGGACCCCAACCAACCAACCCGGTAAGTCATAAAACTATAGTAAAACACAAAATGAGCAGTAAATAAGGGAACGAGGCTACAACACTCAAAATGATCGGTCGTGTCATTACAGTACCCAAGTGATATTGTAGAAATTTTTGCATCACCAAGAAATAATTAAAACTCTTTTCCATTGTCAAGAAATTATTAAAACTTTTCTCCGGTTGATATATGCATGGTAAGGTTGCGTACAATAAATCTGTGTGCTCCAGCCTTGCTTGAACCATAACGAGAGCTTAGCGCACCTAATTGCTCCTTTTCTCTCGTAGATACAGATTAAAAAGCATATTGACAAGATGCCTCCCAGGTTAATATCAAAATCCGCCCTAAAGTGCGGATGGGGTAGGGGTAGAAGTCTGTTGTCCATATTTTGCTTAGGAGTATAAAATACTCTTACTTAGTTGTCCTTCTTCAAGCTTATCTTCTAAACACTTACTAATGGTTTTTATTTTTGGCATAAACACAATTTTCACTAAGGAAAGTAAAATTTTAAAACGTAAACATCCAAAAAATCAAGTAAATTTAATATATACTAATNTATGGTTGTTGCTTTTCTTTCTATTTTTTGATTATTATGTTGTTTGTGTTATCTTTCTGGCTTCCTTTGATGTTACTGTTCCACTGTTTTTCCATCTTCGTGAGCCGAGGGTCTATTGGAAACAATTTTTCTACTCTTCCGGAGTAAGAGTAAGGTCTGCGCGCACATTATCTTCCCCAAACTTCGCTTGTGAAATTCCATTAGGCTGTTGTTATTATACATATATACTATAATTTTTTGGGAAGTAGTATTACAGGTGTCCTCTTGAATAAAGGTAATTCCGCCACTGGTTTCGATAGAGGGCATATCGTTTAGCCTGCTTAAATATTTTTTATTGTCCAAGCTATTTCTATGTGCCTTCCTCATTTTCAATTTCACATGTTCATTTACTAAGTTATAGTGCTTATTAATTGAGATTGGTGAAAATCATTGTTTTATAATATGAAAAAGTAGTAGCTATCCTTAAAAAGATTCAAACATTTGCATGATTCTTTGCTATATACGTGCACGTGTGCGCACGAATTATTGACTACTTCTATAATAAAAAAATTGTGTGTAAGCAATCGCAAGGCCTAACTCTATTGCTTTTTTTACTCTTATTATTTCTTTTTTTAACATAATATGTACAAACATTTGTGTCAGCATCTAAGGAAAGCTTTTGACTTAAAACGGAACAAGTTAATAAAGAAAACAACAAAATTTTGGCAATAAAGAATCTGTACCACAAATTCTATTATTGAAATCAAGCTGACAGCTACTCCTCATCTAATTTAACTATGCAAGCATGCAACCTCTCCACAATTATTGCTAATTGATATGTTCATTCTACATAAAAAGACAATATATAAGTTCAAAATTCATTATATCAAAAAATTTCAGACATAGCTTTAACTAACCTTTTATTGACATCGTATTTCATCTAACTATAACTCAACTCAAGTTGACAGGAAATAATAATTATACGGATTTATTTGATATACACCAACAATATTTTTTATTATTAGCGAAATTTAATTTATCATAACAGGTTATTCGCTTATTTTTCAGGTTATTGATTAATTCTACTAGTTGATAATTAGGAAAAAGTTATCTTTCAACTCCAAAGTGGGGGAGGGGGGTTTACTTTTTGAGGAATATGATCGAAACAATAATAAAAATATTTTCTAATAAAACATTAGTGTATAATAAATTAAACTCTTATTATAATTTTTTCATCTAGTGGATGACCAAATAAGTCAAGTTTTGATATGACTTTGCTGAGATATATTCGATCACTTAATAATACAAACCACAACTATCACTATATTAAAGAGTTTTGAGGTATATTAAAGTATTGTAAAGCATGCTATTAGGGTTTTACATAATATTTTACAAACCTAAGCTGCACATTAAATTAGCAGAGACAAAGGGCACCTTGAATCACATGCAAACTGCAAGAATATCTACCTACATATGAAAGGTGACATCTGGTCTTTCTCATTTATGGTTTTTGTTTTGTATTGAACATGTGGCAATTGTGTAACAAGTACATTTTGTTGGATGAAGATATAACACATATACAAGATCAATAATTATTGAAGGAAATGATTACTAATGTTATAAATTGCATTATTTCCTGCTTTAACAACCTTCCATTAATTCTTTCATTCTACTTTGAATACTACTCCAGCATAACATTCTCATCAATAATTTCAAACTTGTTGAAATTTTACTGTATAATACTATTATTTAACAATTATTAGTGTACCAAGAAAGGAAATTGTCAGCACTCAGGACACATAGCTGGAGGTCTTGTCTTTTTCTTGAAATATAATCTATGTCATGCTCCAAGATATGGGTGGCAATTCTTAGAATCAAAGATTTTGGGAGGTTAAAAAAAATTAAAAAATAAAACCAATAATTGCACCCTCAATATTATACATGGATCATATTTTTAGTAGATAGCTGTCATAGAACTAGGTGGGGTTGTGCCTTTTTGGTCCCTTTTGGTAGAAAATGAAAGTTGAAAGGGATCAATCTTCATTATTCACAATGTCTTGTTCTAGTTTTCAGTATATTACATTACCAGATTGAACCAACTCAATCAGCTAGCTAGGCTGGCAATTCTCACAGTTACATGTTACAACAAATTTATTATTTCTCACACCACTCTGTAATAAATTGTATTTATGCCGCATTATCTAAAAGCAGAATATATATAGTACAATCAGACATCTCTATAACATCTCTATGTTACAGCCATTCACTATAAAAACCAATTTTTTCTCGAAACCAATTCTTATAGTATGTTACAATATATGTCTTCTATAATAGCACTTCACTGAAGGACAGCCTTGGTGTAACTGGTAAAGTTGCTGCCATGTGACCAGAAGGTCACGGGTTCAAGTCGTGGAAACAGCCTCTTGTAGAAATGCAGGGTAAGGACCCTTGCGGTCCGACCCTTCCCGAACCCATAGTGGAAGTTTAGTGCATCGGGCTGCCCTTTTATAAGGGCACTTCAGTATAACAGTCAAAAAACTGTAGTTCCATTCCATATATCTTTTTTGTTGGGAGATTCTTTGTTACACATTTTTAAAGCTAAATCAACTGTCGAAGAATAAGAGAATATGAGAGAGTGTAAAGCTGTAAAGGATGGAAAGAACTATTTTGAAGTGAAGAACATTGGACATAATATTATTGATATTATCATTATTCTCCTGAATTGTGTTTGGTGTGGGAGAGAGATAATAAAATAAAGACAGTTTTCTCTCTTCTTTTTTTGACATTTATGTTTTAAAGTTGTTTCCCACTACATAGACAGGAACAATAACTGGAAGGAGGATTAATAAAAAATTAAAAGAAAGAGGAGAAAGTAGGATAAAAACAAGATCCTCAGAAATCTAAAGCCTTTTTCCCTTTTTATGCTCCCTATTCACCCCTCAAACAACAATCTTCTTTTTCTCTCTTCAATTGCAGCTGCAGACACAGAAAATATACTCTTTGCCAATTCTTATTGCCTCTTCCTTCCTTTTAAACCACCTGCCAAAAACACAAAGGCAAACTAATTAATTTTTGAATAACATCTAAACAATAATGTGGCAGAATGTAGACAACACTAATTAGTTGGGATTAAGCTTAGTCATGTTAGTACATTTATTTTAGTTCTAAATTTTACTGAGTGTCTTTTAATCATGTCTGAAACTTATATTTCAGTAGATAATATGGAGAACTTCTAGCGCAAATGAAACTAACATTTATAATACTCGATTGATCGGCTTAAACGAAACAACATAAATAATAAGAATTGTTTGAGAATAAGACGTAGTTGTTGTTATTCTATCAAGAACAAACCAGTCCTTTTGCTCCATTATTTCAGCAGCAGTTAAAAAGAAATGTAATACAGCTTCTGTTTACTCACTAGATTTTTCTGATGAAGTTCTTCCACTCACAGATGTTTTCAAGAAACCAAAGTGCTTCCCTAAAACAGATTTACCCTGAAATGAATAACACAATTCTCATTTTCAATTCTATACTTGAATAAAAAAGACATCAGAAGAAATAATCTAAGAATAAAAGTCAGCGCGGTGCACTAAACTCCCTCTATGCGCAGGGTTCAGGGAAGGGCCGGACCATAAGGGTCTATTGTATGCAGTCTTACCCTACATTTCTACAAAAAACTGTTTTCATGACTCGAACCCGTAAACTCTTGATCACGTGATAGCAACTTTACCAGTTGCGCCAAGACTCCCCTTCAAATAATCCAAGAATGACAATAAAAAAGTAACCTTAGAATGTGTTTCAGAGAAGTCAGCTACCATCTCCATAGAAGTTCTATCATTATATTCTCTGTTATCCTGTAACACAAAAAGGGTATATATCAAAGTGAAATAAAGTAACATATATTATATATTAAGACTAAGAAATTAAATTGGGGTTGGACTGAACATACCGTTGGGAAACTAGAGAATGGAGAACTGGCAGTATCATCAAGATAAAGATTCTGTTTTTTGACCTTTTGCTCTTTCATTTTCCTTTTCTCCTTTGTTTCCTTTGTATTTTCAGAAGCTGAAGGATAGAAAATATATCCATTTTGTTCAAAGCAATAATCTTCACGAAAATGTGGTGGACCAGAAGAAGCATCAGAAACCATTGACATATCTTCATCTTCTTGATATTCATCTACATGTTCTGTTTTACTCTTACTATATATACCATAATCAATATTTCTTCTGTTATATTGATCTTCAGAATTTGAGAGCTGATCTAAGTACATTGTCCAACCAGATTCACACCCACTACTACATTCAGAAGCTGATATGTTCATACTTAAAAAATGTGAAAATGCACCTTATTATTGGCTAAGTACACTTGGTGTTTCTTGAAAGTAGAGGAAAAAAATATGGAGGTTTGGTTTTTAATAGAGGAAGGAGTAGTAAAGATTAATTTGGGTTGGATTCTGTTTATTGGTTCTGTATTTATAAGTGGGAAGAGAAGAAGAGAAAGGTTATATAAAACCAAACTTAGCACACTCAATAGTAGACTAGCTTTGTCCTTTGCTTTATCCTTTGGCCTTATTTTTTTTCTCAATTTTGTGAAGGATCAAAACTTGCCAGTTGGCTTGGTCATGGGGTAGGGCAGAGAGAGAGAGAAATGAGTTTTTGGCCACTTGCAATTGATATTTTGTACAACGTGGTGATTGCAAGAAAATCATATGTTCAACAATATTTGTGCAACAGCCAGCCAGCAAATGCCAACCATTCCCCTTGCATTCTGTGCTTATTATTACTACCAATTACCATACTATATTTTTTTATCTGTTTTGAGCCGAGTATTTATCAGAAATAACTTTTCTACTTTTTCAGATTTTTTTAGTTTTACAAGAATTTTGCACTAGCGCCCCGCGGCGCGATAGTGCATTTTTCTCCGAGTAGAAATTTCTCTCAATTTTTGACATCCAGACTTGGTCTTCGATTCCCGAACGCGATCGTGGTTTAATCCCTTGTGCTTTTACTCAGACCTCAAAGCTCACAATCATCCAACTTAGCTCCAAAATCGCTCCGTACACGAAATCACCTCCGACAAAGTATAATACACATAATAAGTACAAAGTACTAGCAATCAGGCTCAAATATAACTAAAGTATAGTAATTAGAGTGCAAACTATAGTTAAAAATGTGAATTCCTAGCCTACCATCAGCAGAGGTAAGAGCTGTGTACACACTATCCTCCCACGACCCCACTTGTGAGATTCCACTGGAGTCGTTGTTGTTGTACCACACTGTAACGATCCAAATTCCATATTAGGCTGTGATGGCGCCCGACACCATTGTTAGGCAAGCCGTCACTAATCAATTAATAAATTCTCCTTTGTGTAGTTAGTACGTGATGACTTCCATTGTAGATTTAAGAAATTTATAGCTTAAAACTTTAAGCATATTTAAATGGAAATGATAAATGCGAATCTCAATCATGAAGACAAGCCAAAACATCATAAGTCTACTAATGTGTGTGCCAAGACCTGGTGTCACAAGTGTATGGGCAATCTAGTAGAATATACAAAACCATATTATCCTACTGTATGGAAAAGAGATAGACAGAAACATAGAAACAAAGAGAGACTCCAGCTGCTGCAGATCGACTCAAAAGGGGCAGCTCACCGGAAAGTCTCGAGCTGAAGAGTCTACTCTATGCGTCAGACTGATGGCTAGATGCACCTGCTTCAAAGCCTGTACAATCAAGTACAGAAGTGTAGCATGAGTACATAGAAATATGTACCCAGTAAGTATCTCGCCTAATCTCGCAGAAGTAGTGACGAGGGATCGACTCCGACACTTACTAGGGCCAACAAATATAATAATATGAAGTTCAATATATTTAATTCACAAGGTATGTAGATAACAACAATGTTCAAACAAGAATAATTATTGAAAAGTCCTTTCATCCAATTAATAAAACTAGGCACTTTTCTTATTTAAAATAAGTGATCTTTCAAGCAATAAATCATACGAATTACAAGGGTTCCGGTTTTATTATCACACACAAATACCACCGAGGATGTTCGGTCCGATCCAACATAAAAGTAAACTGTGCACCGCCGAGAGTCGAACGACCCGAACCATATATACATTTACTATTCTGCCGAGGCGAACGACCCGCTCCCATAAGAGTAGTGAAAATAATCACCCTGCTCGCGGAATATACTTGCGACGCGATTAAGTATAAATATAACTTAATGTTTTCCTCATTTCTTATCAAAATAGATAGTTACTTGAAAACTTGAAATCATAACATCTTCAACTTAATCCCTTTCAATGCAAATCAACAATTATAATCAAATAACGGAACACACAAGGCATGGTGTAAGCCTAGAACTACCCGGACATAATAGGAATAGTAGCTACGTACGGACTCTCTCACTTTGTACGTACGCAGCCCCCATAATTAATCGTATATATATTAATTAAGTTTACCTATGGGGAAATTTTTTCCTTACCAGGTTAGAAAAGAGACTTACCACGTTTCGAGCCTACTTCCAACTCAAGAATGCGTTCAAACTCTCAAACCGGAGCCGCACAATCCGAAACTATTCAAATAGTGTAAAAGTCCATCATTATAGGTTTACAAATTCATATCCTAGCTATTAAAGCGATTATCCAACCCCAAAGGCAAGATTCCAAAAATTCAACCCCGGGCCCACATGTCCAGATTCCGAAAATTTTCGAAGGAAGTTGTTACCCATAACCTAAGGATCAAGAATATATCATTTTTACTTCATTCCATAACAAAGTTCGTAGTTAAATCTTATTTTTATCAAAACCCTATGTTTTACTCCAATCCCATGATTTTCACTAATCTTTACATGTTAATCTACCCAAAATCCATGTATTTAACTCACATATAGTAGGAATTACTTACCTCAAAATGCTTGGTGAAAATTCTCTCTCAAGAGCTCCAAAATTGCCCAACCGAGTGGAAATGGGCCAAAAATGGCTAACTCCCGTAATAAATGAAGGTCACTACTTCAGTGATTTCCGCATCTGTGGTCCTGGGCCGCACCTATGCCCACCGCATCTGCGAAAATGTGTCCACTTCTGCGAAATTCCCCTAGGCCGGCTAGGCTGCTTCTGCGGGAAGACACCGCTTCTGCAGCTCCGCTTCTGCGGTTCCTAGGCTGGCCACCCATGGCCGCATCTGCGATGGCCTAGCCGCTTTTGCGGGCTCGTACCTGCGGCTGGCCAATCGCAGGTGCGGTTATGACAAAAGCCCGGAGCTTCAGCTCCTTCCCACATTTTCAACTAAGCTCGAGCCTCATCCGATTGACGCTAGGGGCCCCCGGGGCTCCGCCCGAACACACCATAAGTTCATAATGATAAAATGGACTCGCTCGAACCTCGGAACGCCAGAAACAACATTAAAACTAGAAATCACACCCTAAAACGAATTGATTCAAACTTATGAACTTTAAGTTCTTCAATTTACTTCCAATATGACCAAACACACTTATACTACTCGGATTGACACCAGATTTTGCGTGCAAGTCTTAAATGACATTATGGAACTATTCCCCATCTCAGAATTCCGTTCGGACCTCGATATCACAAAACCAAATTTAAAGAACTTCTAAAATTTTCAAGAACCAACTTTCACTATTATTCGCTAAAACGCTCCCGGGTCATCCAAAACCCAATCTGGACATACACCCAAGTCCGAAATCATCATACGAACCTATTGGAACCGTCAAATCCCGATTCCAAGGTCGTTTACTCAAAATGTTGACCGAAGTCAAACTTGGTCTTTTAAGCCAACCTTAAGGAACCAAGTGCTCCGATTTCAACCCAAACTCTTCCAAATCCCGAACCAACCATCCCCGCAAGTCCTAAATCAATTATAGCAAGTACGAGAAATCTTATTTAGGAGAATAGGGTTCTATAAAATAAAATAACCAGTCGGGTCATTACACACTCTCCAATTTTTACGCTCTTCACTTTCTTTTACCACACCCATGTCAAAAGTGGACATCTATTTGATATATGGATATAGTTCATTTTTGTATGGAACATGTTTATTTAATATTGTAATTTTAGAGGATGAGATGAAACAGTCATCGTAAATCATCATCACATGCAAGAAAATTCCAAATAGTGGGATTCTGTTCATATTTATGTAATGACAAATTTAGTGAGAATACATTTGTCAAAAGGCATTTTTTCATTGGAATTGAAGTTCAGACTTGTCTACAACATAAACTTAAAAAGAGAACAAGATTGAGCTACATAAAACAAGGCAGTGAGTCAGTAATAGCTTCATAAAGTGTAGGCAGTGGTGCTATATATGACATTATTAATGAGAGGCTTTCTTGGATCACTTATTGCTGACATAAGAGCCACATTTTAAAACAAAGTTTCATTGACTAAATTTGTCTTTCTAAATTGGTCATAATTGGAGGCTTGGTCTTTGCAGCGTTTACCAGTTTTTCTTAGTCCGTGGTTACTTACATAGAATTTATACGAGCCGTCTTAGTCTATTATCTCAAGTCCACTTGTACAAGAATCATACTATATCATAAGCGGGAACATCAAATGTCAAACTTGAATTACTAAAATATTCATAAAAAACTGAAGTACATATTGTAGGCATATGCCTTTATTGAAATTAAATTCATAAAATAATTTGGACTATATTTAAAATTCAAGATATATTGGTCCAATAGATAATACGGGCTAACATAATAGAATTAATTATATAAGTCCAATGTGTATGGATTAAATAAATAAGTCTTAATCCATTGGGCTAGCCCATTTAATTGGGCTAAAGTGATGAGCCCAATTCATTGGGCCCGAGATGTCATCTTCCTAGAGGCCCAATTTGGTGTCACGTGTCAAATGACGTGGCGCGCCAAGTCAAACGGAAGAGCCAATGAGATCATGCCATGTGTCAAAATGACAAGGCATGCCAAGTCACACTAAAAGGCCAATGAAATCGTGTCACGTGTGCA